AAAATTTTTTATCCTGGACACTTTCATTGTCTAAATGTTTTTAAATAATTTTTAATCTGCTCTCTCTCTCTCTCTCTTGAGTTTGCATTTTATGTTTACGCCGTTATAACTAATTATATACTAATCATTCAATTTGTTCGATAAATGTTGCGATTGATGTCCCCTAATCATTTTTAAAAACTTGGATTTGTATAAATTTTATTATAAATTTGTAAATATAAATTTTAAAATTATATATATATTATTTATATTATTATAAATGATAAAAATTGTCAATTAATTCAATTAAAAATTACACGGTATAAAAATATTCAAATACTAATTATTAGCTGTTTATTAAACTATAAAAATTGTTTGATTTGATTGAACCGAACATCTCGTTGACATCGCTTTGATAGTAAGACAAGACATTATTCCTCTTGAGTTTAAAGGCGGCGGTAATCATATGGTTATCTGCGGTCCACTCTTCGGGACATAACTTGATTTTGACGGGTATTTCGCAACGATTCAAACCACTCAATGCAGACGTTTGTCGTATACTTTGCAACACGTGATCGGTTAGCGACGGGTCGGCACACAACTCATCCCAACTATAACTGTCCGGAAGTGACAATTGTTTGGCTAAACTTAACAATGCCTTAGTGTTTGGCGTCACTAAAGCCATCACACAATTGCTGTCACTATCGGTCACAACACATATATTGTCCACTAATTTGCATGATTTGAGCGCAGATTCAATCTATGGGTCATTGAAAGTGACAATCAATTTAAAATGTTGAACAAATGTATATAAAAGTGTTTTTATAAATTATGCTAAAAATGGCAAAAATTTATAAAATCTAACATCGAATTAAGGGAATCAAACTCGTCTTATATAGAATTCGCTTAAATTGAGGACAGACTGTAAACCATTTAAAGGTAGACTCACTTTTCCCAATGAGATGTACTCTCCATTTGAGAGTTTTGTTAAATCCTTTTTCCTATCGATGATTCGAAAGCGTCCGTCGGGTAGGACTTCGACGACATCTCCCGTACGGAACCACCGCTGGCCAGAAGTGTCGGTCAGGAAAGCATCGGCGGTCGCGTCCGGGGCTTTGTAATAGCCGTCGGCCACACCGGCGCCGCCCACCATCAACTCACCCCTGGGATTTGGTTTGTCCATGGTCAAATAGCCGCCCTCTGGCCAATCAACCAGTTTCATAAGCACGCCCTCCATTGGTATACCGACGTTACCGTAGCTCTGGTCGTCTGCACTCATGCCTGTGGCGGCACCTGACGTCTCGGTGGCCCCGTATCCTAATAAACGTGTATATGATTAGTGAAATAATTTATAAATTAAAAACAAG